TTCTGTCCTTTGCTGCAGCTCAAACAAATTTCCCCCAGTTTCCAAATTTGCCTTTGTATTTTCTGTTATTATACTTCCATGGACTATCTCCTTTTGAATGGGAAAGTCTTAGTGTCTCCACTCCAAACACCCACACTTTCATTTTATCTGTTTGACTACTATCAGATATTGTATGTCCCTGATGAAAGCTTTTTTCCAAACTGCCTGCCTTCCCCAAGTATAAAGGAGCACTCCTAGGAAAATGCTAGAATCCCCCCAACATACTATTTGAAGTTTACGATATGCAGTCCTTATTTTTACTTCTCTGCAAAAATCATTATTAAACATGGATTCAGTTTTCTTGTCTCCTTTTTTAAAACATTATAAATTGTATACAATATTCTTAATAGAATTTCATGAAGAATGAACTGAGATGTCAAATAGTCTTTGCATTCACTGCCCTAGTTCATAAAAGTGGTAGTAGATCCATAACAACTCATAAAAAGAAGAGTTACCAGTTTGTTTCTATGGGCATGTATGCAGATTCAAGGTAAGCTACAGACAGTTCCTTCTCAGAGTATCTTATACACTTCGACTGTATAGCCCTCTATTAACAAAAACTATTCGGACATACAACAAAAATAATAGTCATCATTACTTTCATATATGTGCTCGTTTGTGGGTAATATAGACTTTTGAGAAGGGACACATCATATATTATGTGTTCCAATTTTGCTCTTGAATGGATCTCTAAATTTGCACAGTGTGGTCCCATGATGCACAATTGATTCTAACCTTCTATCTCCACCTAATATCCTATTTTTATGAGCTTCAAAAGGTGGTTTTAAACTGGTAGTTTCTTTAAGGAAACAATTACAATGTAAATTAGTCTTCAACAAATAGTAAGGCATATTTTGGAATTAAATGCCTAGATATTGCAGCTTTGCTTCTTGATATATTTTAAACCATTATATAAGTTTAACCATAGCTATTCAATCTATGTACTTAGAAATATCATTCTTTCTCTTGCTAATGAAGGTCCTACGGCACAAATTTATTAAAGGTATACGTTTGCATGGGATAATAATTGGGTCGATAATATTAAATTCATAGGCTCATTATTTAATTGCAAGGGCAGATTATGAATACAGCTTCTAAAATGTATTTTAATGAAAAACACTACATCCTGACCTAATCATATCAACCTTATGCTATCTAATTAAGGATGCAAAAAATCATTAGAGTTGCAAAATATTAGTTCCAGCTCCATCAGGCTGTGAGCTGCCCCTTCATGAATATATATTTTTTTACTCTATGATAAATAGTTAATGAGGTAAAAATGACAAAATTTGCATGTAGGCAAATTAGTTTAATAGAATGATGTCTTTTCTAGCTACTGAAAGTGACCTTTTCCTTATCAAAAAATAGAGAAAGTACTTTGAAATTATCATCTGGCTGTCTTTGCACAAATGACAAATTATATGTATGAACAATATAAAAATTATAAAATGCAATAATCCTAAATTCTCATCATACTGTAAATGTGCTCTGTGCTTTTGCATTTATCAATTTAATAAAAGGAAATTAAGCAAAGTATAAAGTCTCCATTTATGGGCAATTTTTTATCCAGATAATAAAAATGAGAAGCATGTGCTTAATAACACTATGGCAAAAATCTAGATCAAATGTTTAGAGCATAAGAATTCTAGATTACTTATTTGAAATACCTTTATATTAAGATGGCTACTTAACTGTTAATTTGGCATTTTAGATTATTGGTAATTGTTCTCAATTAAACTGGCATTATAGCTGGAGATTAGAGCATCAATTATTCAACAAGGCAACCTTGCTTCCTTATTGAAATAAACTAAACAAGCAAATATAGAAGCATAAGAATAACATACAAAAATTGATCATAAGAGAAAAGCTTCATGATGTAAATATCCACATAAAAACAAGTAATATATAATATTATACACACACACACACACACACACACACACTACACACACACTCACACACATTTAAGGTTGGGGGCGTTTGTGTATGCTTAACAAACATAATGCTCAAAACATGAAGTAACAGATGTTCTATGGATTTTTGAATTATTTGCATAATCATCTCTGTGGCTCCCGCCTTTGAAGGAGGCTGTCTATATGTTTTGCCTATATGTTTTGTAAAGAGCATAGAAATCATTTTTCTAGTAATGACCCAACTGAATCCAAGCCAAAAAAATCCAAGGAGTTTGGTTAAATTGTTTAATTACATCTAATCAAATTATTTTTTTCTTTAATCTATTTGACTGTGTACAGACAGGATAATGGACAGTAACAGTTTGAGGTCTCCTCCTAATCTCTACTCTTGCTCATCGTGGGTCAGCAAAGTCATTTTACAAAGAAGGGCAACATAAATATTAAATAATTACACAACACCCTTGAACTTTCCTCCTAACATCTAAGCATTAGTTTCTCTCTCTCTCCCCCTCCTCCCTTGCTAAAACAGAATTAATACATCTTCAAATACCTTTTTTTGCTATTTTTTTCTTTTAGATACTATTGTTCAACTGAATAATCTTGCATCTTTAAAAATCTTGCTGTTTTTGAAGGATTTTTTTCAAGAATAAACAAGATTAATATTTGGTAAAGTGAAGCGTGCTTTGCTTCAATTCCGGGATAGTGGTCTTGTTAATGTCTGCAGTACTGTTATATTAACTATACACTACACAGAATTCAAGGCATATTGAGTAGAGAGAAGCTATATGAAATTTTCTAAAGAATTGATGTTTAAGTTTCTGTCAGGTAGGAAATTGGGTGAAGTACATTATGTGTTCACTCTTTGGGCAAATTAATTATGTTTAATTATTCAACCATTCACGCATCCATCCTTTATTTGTTGAACAAATAGCTGATGAGTAGATGCTATATTTCAGAGACTCTGTCAGAGACTGAGGACATAAAGATGGAGAAATCTCTTTATTCTACAAGGAGATTTTGGTCCAAAAGAAAGGGGAACATATGACCAGGTAATTCTCAAATTATGTGTGAGATGCTAGAAGAGTCAGATAAAAGACTCCTTTTTTTAATAGAAAGCAAGTGGTCCTGTATGTGTTGAGTCCACAGAGAAGGCACTTGAGCTGAACCCTGGAGGTGAATCAGTTGGTCAAGTTGTATAGGAGGAGTTGGAGGGGCCCACCAAATAGAGCAATGCACTGGAATGAGAAAAAAAATGACATGTTTAGAAAAACTATTTATATTGTAAAGGAAGCAATGACAGAGGTGATTCCATTTTGGGTGAGGGAGACACTTTAGAAGCAGACATCTAAAGGGGTGTGCAAAACAACAGGTTTCTCACAGAAGTAACAAGACTCACCAAAATAACAAAATGCAGCTGCAAAGTGGGCTCCAAAGCCAGGATGGTCTGACCAGACCTTGAAATGTTCTGTTTGTTAAGGAGGTGAATGGGCAACTGGCCAGGTTCAGTGAGAAGTTGATTAGGTGCCAACCAATCACAAATATAATTTCAAGGTAGAATAGTTGGACCTACGCCAGGAAGAGCCCTATATCACTCTTAGATTCCAGCTACGCTAAGCCCCTTCGGTGCAGGGAAATTTGCTATCCTTTCAAGAAAGTACTTTGTGCTTGCTTTAACTCTTAACTACTGGTACAGTGTTTCCAATCATCCACGAACTCAAGATCAAAACCCAGTATCAATATAGTAGGTTATATTCCTATTTTTGAAAAGATGTGTTTTGAGCAGGAATTGCTGGGAGGAAATGGGGACACAGGAGGTGTGACTGACAATGTAGGAAAGAATCACTGCAAATGCAGTTATGCAGTAGTAAGAATTTTGGTTTTTGTTCTCCAGGCAATGAAAATTACTGAAGGGATTATGACAGAGGAATGCAGGGTCACATTTACATGGTAGAAATGTCACTGTAACAAGAGTGCAGAATTAATTCATCCACAGCATGAAGGTGGGGCAACCACATTCAGTCTGAGTATAGAGAGAGTAGTTAACCAAGTACTATTTGTTCCTTAGCAGTTGAATATTGAAGGACTGGATCTATGCTGTAACAAATGAATTAGAGAACAGAAGACAATAAGAGCGTAAATTACATAAGACCTGATGATCAAATAAAAGTCTAGGACACAAGAGAAAGTCCAGGCTGGACTGGAGTTTTGGTCCATTGTGATTCAGAATAGATGAAAATATTATATACAAAGATTACAGAACTGCAAATGCTGAGTTTTTGATATAGGTAAAATTCATGTATTAGTTAAACAATATGTGGTGAATAGATTTTGTTTAGATGTCATCATGGAATTTAAGTATCTTTGGACCATCCATCTCTATCTGAAGACATCAAGAAAGCTACTGGGTTATATATTTTGGGACACAGCGGGGAGGTATAGCCTCTAGATATATATTTGAGAATCTTCAACATGTCGAAGAAAATTTAAAAGAAAGTTAACAAAAAGACAAAGTACAACATGAAAAGGAAGAAACAAGATTCATAACTCTGGAAGGAACTGAGATAGAAGAAGCTGATGAAGGAAATGGAGCTCCCCATCACCCAAAAAAAAAAAAAATGTCTCAAAGGAAGATTTCTGAAAGAGGGAAGAGAATTCAGGGGCCTGACCAGCAGAGCCATCAAAAGAGCACACTCCCTTCCTCCTGCCTACCCAAGGTTAAATTAAAGCCAAAAATCACTCTGTGTGCAGAAATTCTATTACTAGCTTCTGTTGCATTCTTTACCACCCTCTGTAGTTTTGTCATATAGTACATGTGAACACACACACACACATTTGAAAAATAATAGCATCAAACTATAAGAACCATCTAATCTCTTCTCCTCCTTTTGACTAATAAAAAGGAAACAATGTAAAATCAGGTTGCAAAATTTGGTGGCAAATACAATAGTAAATACCTTAGACAACAGCATAAAAAATTTATGTGCTGATGTGCTAACTGAGGGAGTTTCTTCTATAGTCAAAAAACAAGTAGACTTCAAGCCACCTTACCTTCCTTCTTTCACCGTTAATCCCTCTCCATTGCACAGCTCTTTTCACTATGTAACTGAGCTCCTGATTGGAAATCTCTAAGTCATATGGTATGAAGAACTTGGTTTCTTCACTGTGGATGCGCTGAAATGCATCTAATACCCAACAGTCATTGTGCAACCTATGGACAAGGTCATCTATTAGCTGGTTCTACTTTTTTAATACCCAAGAATCATTGTGTAACCTAAGGACAAGGTCATCTGTTTGCTGTTTTTACTTTTGCCAAATCTTATATTTCTTCTAAAGTATTAGGCAATTTATATTTCTCTTATCAATTTATAGTTATTAAGTTCATTTTTCCATTCCTTTTTCAGAAATTATATGATAACTAAGATTTCAGAATTTATTTAATTATTTTCTCAACTCATTATTATACCCCACAAAAACAAACTGGTTGCTTTTGAGGTTACTTCCTATAACCCTAATGATTCTGATTTTTTGACATCCTAAATGTCAGATTGCAGAAAACTGAGGAATAATCCACCATTGGATAGGATTCTAAATATCTAAATTAGTTCAAATGTTAGGAATTTGTCTAAAGAAAATTAAATTTGGATTCCTTCTTCCTCCATAAGTTGATTTTAGTGTCCCTGTGGTAGAAATTCCATTAATTCTTAGATACTGCTAAGTAATATGTACACGAGCATTACAGACATTAATTAGGTCAATGTTTGTAAGCTTTTTCCACTAAGTAACCCTAAAGACAGAGAAGAGTAATTGTGTATACTACTCTTAATCCATGTTTTATTTGTCAAAACACAGAGTAAAATTAAAGCCCTGGGGGAACAGCATATTTATTCTGAGACCTGGCATACTCTTGTCTCTCTCCATATACCTGGAACTAATTTAAGCACAGAATTGTACTGGTAACAGTCCCTCGAGCACCAGTGTCGATACATACCTGGCCAGAGTTTTTAACAAATGCCTGAGCTATAAATTGAACTATTAATATATTTCAGTATCCTACAGAAGTGTGGATAATTCTACACATTCAGAGTGGAGAACTGGAAGTATTTTCAGTGGTCAAAATTATTAGGTTTTTTTTTTTTTTTGTCTAGATGATCAATACTAGAATTCATGGATTGCCCATTATAATGGCAGTCGAATTCACATCCATTGTGTTATTCTAGCCTTACCTTAATCCTGACTTTTTATTAATACACTATGATTTAAAAACATCACTCTTACTGATTATAAATAACAAATACAGAATTTAAAATCAGAACTAATGCCAACGTTCATTTTGTCCTATCATGCTGACTCAAAATAACTGATATAGCTAGCATCTTCATTTAACTACCTCTATCCCAACTTTTTCTAAAATAGATTTTTTGATTTCCATTGCCAAATAAACATCTTTGTGCCTTTTTCATTTTTTGACAATTTTGCATTCATCACATCAAAAAAAAAAGTAAAACTGACATTCAATATAACTAACAGCCCAAGACTGGGCATATGGCATGGCACCATCTTGAAAACTTTTTTGTGGTGCCAGGGATCAAACTCAGTTCTTTGCAAGTGCCCTACCAGTGAACTACATCTCCAGTCTACCTGGTACCATCTTGAAATGCACCTCCTGCTTTTGATATGCTTCAAGATTATAGGTCAGACATTCAAATGATTTACTAGTTGGTGTTTTAAATAAGAACTAGTCTTTACCATTCTCTTAAGCTTGTTTAATGTAACATTCATCTTTTCCTTTTAATGGTGGTAAGATTTAATGTTGTTAAATTACTGTCAATTTGCTGCCATAAACATTTTCTATATGAAGATTTTAAGTGCAAGATTATCAACAATGCAATTAACTTTGAATTAATTAGGAATCACAGTCCTGTTTCTGCTGGCTTCTGTTCCTTTTGCCCAGAAAATATCTGTCTTCTTTTTACTTCTCTTTCATTCTGTGTGAAAGAATAATTATGTAAAAATCAAAGCCTGCATTTACAGGACAGTTAACAAATGTTTTGACAGAGAACAAAATGGTACATTGGAATATGGAAAGCTGTACAAAGATTAATTGCATCTTAGTTTTGCTTAAAATTTTTTTCTTGCCATTTTGGGTGGCATTTTCCAATGAAAAGCTTCATGATGAGATGTTAATGAGTCAATTTACCAACCTTTGATAGTTTTTAGCATATTTTACAGCGCTATAAAGCTAGTCTATACAAACAAGGGGAAAACACTCTGTGATTGTATATACAAAATGAAAATAAATAAGTTGAACATTGATAATTAGATAACTTTTGATGACATAATTATTCTAGAAGTACAACACATATCTAAAAGTGAATTACATTATTCTTTGGGATAAAAGGATATTTTATGCTTTTGTGTGTATTTCGAAACTCCACTATTGAGGCTTTCTTCAGAAAGTTAAAGATCATAATAAAATGTTTGGTGAATTTCTGAAAAAAGAAAACCATGTAAAACAGTTCTAATTACCTTAACAAATTGTATATTGGTGACATTGATGAAAAAGCAAAAAAATCCTATTTTTTCTATATATACAATCTTAGAGAGTCATTCAACAAAATATTGTTGAATTTTCAAGATCATATTCAAAGTGTAGGCCAGAACACACATTTTTAGTCACTTGCCATTATTTGGTTGTGTGTATATATGAATATCAAATTGAATTATATAAAGTTGAAGATATTGGAAAATATTAGGTGAGAGAAGAGTAAAAGAAAATATAAAAAAAATTTTAATAATTAATGAATCAAGGAGAGGGACATACAACTTATTGTACTCTTCTTGCAATTTTTGTGGGTTTGAGACTTTAATTAAAAGCTAAAATTTTACAATATTGTATTGAACATCACAATATTAGTTGGTGATGGTTACAAATTTGGATTTTCTTTAAAAGTATAATTATTATTCAATATGTCTGAAAATTTTGTATTTTTAAATTATTTCTTCAAAATGTAATTAAAGAGAAACTACACTCCACCTGTCTGCAAAGCCTTAGGCATTACTGTTTGTAGAAATAGGTCACATATTATGCCACAGGTTCTGACGATGGCCAATGAAACAAAGCAATTTACCAAGTCCTCTGCCCTGTGTCCTACATTTGCAGCAATTCATTGCTTGGTGAGTGGCAGAAGCTATTATGTTTGGTTCACATCTGAATGTGGGTCATTTACAGAAACCTAGTATGTGACATTTCTTTTAAAACTAAAAAGGACAAGTGTGAACATTTAGCTACTTCACTATTTTAAGGGTCATGAAAAGGATGGAATCCATAACTTTAAATAGGTCTAAATGCAAATATCTATATGAAGAATAAGAATAATTTCTGACTCCAAAAGTTTCAATTGAGTTTGTCTGTGTGACTTTACACATGTGGTAGTGAATGTACTTCTGATACAAGTCCGAAAACATTTATTCACTGGCATGCATGAGAATGATACGGGAATAACTCTGAACACAGTAATAAATTGTTACACTTCTCTTAGTATAACCTGTATCTCATTGCTAAAATTCATTCCATTTTTTATCTGTGAAAACTTACATATTCTTTAGCAGAACTGTCAAAACACTTTAAATGAGGTGCATGACATATGAAGACAGGTTTTATTAGTTTTTTTTTTAATCCTTCAATACACACCATTCTACTTAATAACAGTTGAAATTCACATGGATTTGTTTTGAAAACATACTGAACAGAGGAAAACAGAAATGTGAGGGAGTCATGAAGAAGAGAGAGAAGAAAGGAAACAAAATTTCAGAAAAAAGAAAAAACTCAGAAAATAAAAATGTGCACACAGTGCCCACTTCCAGAGACAGTACTGTGATAGGTGTCTAGTTATGAGGTTGTGTCATCTCAAGTTTGTAAGGAAAATCATGCTTTTTATTCATTCCTCACTGATTTATTCCCTCAGTCAACAAATATTCACATGTGCCAATTGTACATCAGGTTCTGGGAACAGGGGAGATGGTACAGTTGCAGTAATGTGATGTAGGCAAGGTTAGCAGGACCTCCAAGACAGTGGGCACTTACTTGCATCAGGAAGGCTTTACCTAGGTTTAAGAAAAGAGTAATATCTCTTCCAGCTTAAGAATCATTCTGGTAAGAGTGAGGAGAACAGACTGAAGGGAGCAAGAAGGAGTATGAAGAGGATTGTTTGACAGCTGGTGCTAGAATAAGATAGGGTGAGATGGGGCATATTGGTCAGTGCAAATTGCTTTTTTTTAGATACAGCTAAATGAACAAACCCAACAGTTCAGGAATTTCTAAAATGTGGAGATAGTGGACAAGAAAGGTGACAGAGAAGGGAGATTTGAGGATAGCATCCAGGTTTCCTTCCTTCTCTCCTTTCTTCCCTTTGTCCTCCTTCCTTCTTTCCTCCCTTCCTCCTTCCCTCTCCTCCTCCTCCTTTCTTTGTTTTTCTTTCTTTCTCTTCTCTCTCTCTCCTACCTCCTTCATACTATATAAGTGATATTGGCATTTACTCAGATAGGGAACCCTGTATGAGATCTTTTATTTGAAAAGACTAAGTTTATTTTTCATATTTCAATTTTGAAGTCTCTTTGGAATATGTATATGTGGGGTTGTCAACATTAATTAAAAGTTCTAAATTGTTAAATTTAGATTTACTTTGAAAAACTAAATTTTAGAACTAAAAATACTTGTCAAAGTTACAGTTCAGCTAGAAATAGGCTAAATAAATCAATTTGTTTCCTAAGGAAATACTATTTGTATTTATTGTATTTACTGAATACATACAAATCTTCCATAGATTAAGTGTATTCCTTGGAATTTTAAGCCTGACTTTATTATCTATATTTTTAAAGATAAAGAAACAGAATAAAGGAGCTAAAAGCACTGTCTAAGGTCATGTAACTGGTAAATGACAGAGCCAGAATTCAGGCCAGTCCTATCTCCAAGTCAGGAAATGAACTATCACACCAATTCATTCATTACCAGAAGGTTAACCACAAATGTGATTTTTTTTACAATATTAATCATTTTTATGTGTATTGTTCAGTGGTGTTATGTATATTCATATCTGTGTGCAACACTGAAACTCCATAGCCACTAAACACTAATTCATCATCCTCGACTCCTTGGTTTTTCTTTCCATGTCTATTGTGACTATTTTAGATACCTCATATGAATGGAAA